TAAGAACAAGATTGAAGGCTTTGTGAGATATCTGGACAGAAGTCAAACATATCACTTGCAAAAAAAAAATGTTGGGGGGGGCGCGAGAGACAAGTGCTCTCCGAAATAATACCAAAGAAAGTGGATTTCATTGTAATTCATAGACTTGTTCCAAATGCCAAGAGAGAAAGGGGGAAAAGAATAGAAGCCACATGGAAGGGCGCAGATGCCCCGATGAAGGGGGAACAGCTCTGCTCCCATTATTGTGGGAGAGAGGGTTAACCTAATCCATCAAATTGTCTGGAAATTGTGAAGAAAATTCAAAACCCATATGGCCTCCAAGCTTTCGGGCCCTTTTTGCGACGGAGGGACACGCTTGTTTCAGCATTGCGAGCCGCGGGAGGTTGTACATGCGCCATTGTCACTTGTCAGTTCAGAGAAGAGGGCTCATTTGTCCCCAGTTTTCATGCTTTACGCTAAAAATTACAACCCCATCCATTTTCAAAGAGGAGAAAGATTTATTTCGCCTCGGAGAAACTGGCCCAAACCCCCCCGCCCCCTCCCCGCAAACCCATCCTGTCTGATTTGGAGCCCTCTTTTTCGGACTCTGCCACTATCTACCAGATTTGTCTTTCTCACATAAATTTTGCAAAGAATAGGCAAACGCACATCGCCGGGGTGAAAAGGCAGGACACGCTATTGGGGGAACAAATTTAGCAGGATTTTTTTTGGGGAGGGGGATTAAAAAGGGAAAATGTAAATTAAAAATCATCCATCATCTTTTTGGGGAGGCGTAGGGGAAGCAGAGGTGCTACCTGAAAACGTTAATATATTTGCAGCTCTGCAGGGGGAAGAAAGAAAAAAAAATCACCCAGCGTGGTGTTTGTCCGTGTTACGATCTTTAGTGGAAACAGGCGATTTTGTCATTTTCGCTTTGTGTTTTCAAATGGGATATTTCCTCTATAATTTAGAGCTAGAAAACTCGTTGTAGATCTAAAAAATTTTACACGTGTGTCTCATTATATATACACACATATACACACACACTTATTACTTGAATACTAAAATACAATACTATAGGATATACATTCTATATACACTGTACATATTGTGCATATATCATTATTTATAGATATACACACACAGTATGTTTTAATTTCTTTGCATGGGTTTTCTGTTGAGAAAGAAAATTGCAACTCCTAGTTTATTCCTCGATTGATTTCTCTCTACCGTTTAATTTGTAACTTGTCTTACACTAAAAAAACAAATACATTTTTATCATTGGTTCGTCCACCCCAAAATAGACACAGCTACTAGAGCTGAAACGATTTAAAATGGAAATATGAATGGATGTGTCTATACGGAAAGTGGCAATTCCTTATGGTGGAACCGTATTTTGTAATCTCAGACGAAGAAAAGATATTAGAGGCATATTTAGTTCACAAAGAACAACGTTAAAAGTATATTAAAATGGTAAAGATTTTATTGTATCGGAAAAAGAGCTATCTGTACAATTCTAAGAGACAGTAAATAAAGCAACATTGTCCCTGTTGTAACTTAAATAGCAGGCCTTTGAAAATTTTTACAATTCAAACAAAAACATTTTTAAATCTGTACATTTTTTTTTAAATTTATAGCGTCATATTTAAATGTCTTGATCTTGGGATTCGTCCTTTTTTTATTTTTGTAGCATGCAAAAATTCTAAAAAGAGTAAAAAATAATTCTAGGATTTTTTTTTGTAACCACCTTCATATCAAAAATACGAAAGGTAGCTTTTTAATAAAAGCACAACAATAGCAGAAAATGGTAAAAATATCTTTTAATTGGTAAAATGAGGCAGAAATTGCATTGATACAAATATCTATGCTCTGAGGGCGCGGGGGGGGGGGGATGGTGGTGTTGGTGGTACATATTTTAAACTTGTAGTATAACCCATCCCCTATTTCCCAAGATTTTAAAAGAATTTTTTTGTAAAAAAGAAAAATAATTATTTCGTGCACATTTGAAACATGCAAGGAAAGAAAGAAAATTGCTAATTTTAGCCTAACTTAAATCTCCTATAAACTGGTTCATTTTTGGAAGTCGTTTAAAATAACTGCCTAACAAAACATCTGTTTGAAGTGGTGTATATATTGCAAGGTTATGCTTTCTTTTATAAACAAAACCAATTGATATAGTTATTTTTTTTAAATCATACCCTCAAAAAAAAGAAAGAAAATCCATTATATATGTTTAAATATTTATACAGAAGCCATCCATAATTGCACCATTCCAAAGATGAAAACTACCTGATGTGACAGGCATGGGATATTGACTCTATTTTAAATTATTATTTTTTCCTATTGCTTATTGCTTTTATTGAAAAGGAACTGCCTTATTTAGTTGCCAACAACGCTGTGTCTATCACCAGAGTTCATAGTTCTAGAATACTGTTCAGGCTTTGCTCAGGATTTCACAGGTCCACCCCTTGAGTGTGGGGATGTGTGGCTGTCAATTTCTGGGTTTGTTTTTGTTTTGGAGAAGAAGAAGAAGAAGAAGAAAAGAAAAAAAGGTGTGTGTGTGGGGGCGGGAAAATATACCCACCACCACCATCACCACCACAACAATTCAGTCATCAACGTCAATTTCCACATCTTCTTCATCCTCTGAGCAGTCCTTACTGCTGTTGGGTTGGTCTGTGAGAGGGGATTCAGGAGGCAGTTGAAGGTGGCTGGCGGTCTCCAGTCCATGTTTGGGTAGAGTTGGAGAAAGAGAACGCGATTTCCCCCTCCCTTCCGAATTCGGCTCCAGCTCTGAAATGCTAACAATATCCACCTGGGCGCTGGGCCCCAGTTTCTTGGCAGATTCCACATCTGCTTTCATCTCCTCCAGGTCTCTTTTGAGTTTGGCTCGGCGGTTCTGAAACCAGGTGATCACCTGGGCGTTGGTCAGCCCCAGCTGCTGGGCGATTTGGTCTCGGTCGGCTGGGGAGAGGTATTTCTGATACAAAAACCTCTTTTCCAGTTCGTAGATCTGGTGGTTTGTAAAGGCGGTTCTAGACTTCCTCCTTTTCTTGGGAGTTTGTCTCTGGCCAAAAATAGTCATCCCATCCCTTCCTGCAAATAGAATATTTGGCTGTTCAGTCACACACAGAGAACCCCTACCCTCTCCTTCCAATAAGTTGGAAGCGGACAACAATAAATAGATCAGCAGCGTTAAGGAAATCAAAGGTGAATCCAAACCCAATTAAAGTTGCGGGGGGGCATATTTTGGGAAGCAACGGACAAGTCATTTGGATTTTCACCTCTGACCACCTTTCCTTAGGTGTGTTGGGAACATATCCCCAACTCTGAGCTCTCCGAGTGCTAATTCAACGCAGCAGCGCTAACAACATTCCCCCTCAAATGCGAGAGAAGGAATTAGGCCCAATTTCCCCCTGTCCCCCCATCTGTAACAACAATAAATAGTGTATCATTTGGGGGGTGGGGGAGGAGATAATACAACAAAGGACTAGCAACTGATTTGTGTTGCCCAGATTTTCCCTGGAAGGCAACTTTAGACCCATGTCTGGAAGGAGATGGTAGGGGAGGGAGGGAAACACTCGCTATAAAAAAATAAACTCAAAAGGTGAGGTCTTAAGGGCCAGCCAGCTGGTTTCGCCCTGCGACCTTCCGCAAATCGCTCTGGTTTCCCGCTAAGCAGAGAACCTCCAGGTTGGATTCCATCTCAGGTGAAGTTCTCCACTGATGCTCTCCACAAACGCAAGGAAGAGGAGGAGGAGGGGGGGTGGGGAGGAAGAGTGTGTTAAAAAACAACCACAACAGCAACCACGGATCTTACCTTCAGCTGCCTGCAGGACGCTGACTTCCAGCCCTTTGAAGGTTTTGCTGGCCAGTTCCTCCAGGGCACAGAGCGGGGAGGTTTGGGAGAGGAGCGCCCGGCTGGAGAGGGGCAGGCCGGCTGGCGGGTGCTTGTCGGTGCTGGAGAGGAGGTGCGCTGTCCCGCAGATGGTGTAACTTCGCCTGACGGCCGGCTTGTTCAGAATGTCCTCTATGCTGAAGGGGGTCAGAGGCTTGTTGGAATTGGCAGGAGGGGGTAGTTGATCCAGGGGGCTCCTTCTTCTCTCCTCCACCGAGGAAGCCTTGGCTTCTTCTTTGGAAGTCATGCTTGACTTGGGCTGGGAATCGTTTCTCTCTCTCTCTCTCCCCCCACCCCACCCGCCCCTTGCCTTTTGTTTTGGGGTCTGGTGCGGAGCCGCCGCAGCGGTCTGTATTTGCACCCACCAGCGAAGGAAACAAAAATCGCAGGCGAGCAGCGGCGGCAGAAGTGGAAGGGAAGGGGGGTGGGGGTGGGGGAGGGGGAAGGCAAGAAAGTTCAAACCACCACCACCAACTCCAGCGGAGGAGAAACAGGTCTTCTTCCCGGAGCAGCCTCAGCCCGCAAGGTGAGGAGGAGGGACAGGAATTGGCGTGGCTGGGAAGGGATCCCTGCAGTCCTGACACGGAGAGAGGTGACACTGCTGCACGCCTGTCCCAGATTTCCTCTTCCCAGATGCTATTTTAAGATACACCCCAAATCGCTCCACTTTTCCTTCCCTCCCCCCCAAGCAAAGAGCCTTTGGAGAGGGGGGAGCGAGCCAGCGGCCCCTAATCCGAGGCCGAGGGGGAGCGAGCCGGGGTAATTGACTATTGCTAACAAGTTATTGTTGATTGGGGGGTAATCAATTATCTCCAATGACACTTTTCGCCCGCTCCCTCTCGCTCGCGCGCTCTCTCTCTCTCTGTCCAATGCAGGCGTTTGCAAGTTGGGAGCCCCATTAATTAGGAGGCGGTTTGGAGGTGGAGCCCAGTTGAATTATAATGCTGAATGCACTTGTCATATTCTGGCCCCACTATTTGTTTGGACATATATATTTTTAAATTACATTACGCCCAGGCTTTATTGCATCAGGATAATACAGTATGGTGAAAAAATAATACTACCCTAAACCCCAAACTCACCAGTATGCCCCCCCCCCACCCACCCCAGATTCCTTCTCTTTTCTTTTTTTCTTTACTTTTGATGATGATTAGTTTTAAAAACAAACCCAGCTCCATGTTGTTTGTAATCAGGGAAAGAAGGGGAGAGCCTGTTGCCAGGTAAGGTAGAAAATTCATCTAAAACCTTTCTGCGTATTTTTTTTTCCATATTTCATAACCCATTTTGTGTGTGCAGTTTGGAGCAATTTGTGGAAACATCCCGCATGTCTTTATTTATGCTGCAGAGACGGGGAAGACGCCTTTTGCTCGGCTGCTGCTTTCATACAAGCTTGTGGAGTTGGGGTGGGGGCCGGATGTAAAGAAAAAAATAAGACCTGATTTGAAATATTGACTGGTTTTTTACGTATTTATGTGTGTGTGTATTTTGTCCCTCCTAATAACAATATGGCGAACTCCTGCTCTCTCGAGTAGTTTATAATGTACACAATACGATTCCATAGGTTCCTATACCGACGGCTCACCTCCAATCTTTTCATGGCTTAATTGGGTCAGTTTTCTTCTCGGATTCTCCAAGTGACTGCCCGATGAGGTGTGGGTGCCCTACTGTGCTGGAGAAGCTCGAGGGGTATATATCATTTCTTGTAATACCTAGAGGACAGGGGAGCCAGAGAGAGGCATGCACAGCTCCCCCTTAGCGCTAGCTAAATCCTTTTCTGCTATAATTCAAGAGCAAAGGGCCACCAAACAGCGTCAGGGACATATTTCATCTCCCTTAAAAACTCCAGATGCTCCCGACACGGTGTGTCCCCCCCCCCCTTCTTCTTTTTCCTTTTGCTTTACTCAAAAGCCTAACTGAATTATTGTTGTTTCTTAGTGCTGGGTCCCAAGACCAGGACGTGGGCACATATTTATGTATATTTGTCTCTTCTTAAGGGCTCCCTGAGTGAAGGGGACTAGTTAGTTGCCAAAAAGGTCAGCAGGAAGCCAACTGGATATGATAGGTTTCAATCTGTTTTTTTCCCTGGCTTATAAATCAGTGGAGGAAGAGAAATCACTTTTGATTGCCTAGGGTTTTTATTATTATTATTTCTTCGCGTGATAAAGCAAATCAACACGTTACAAATGCCGTTACTATTTTTATTAATAATAATTAATCATTCATTTTTCTTTCTGCACAAGACCAAATCAATCCTCCTGTAACATAGAAATGCCAAAAAAAAAAATCCCTCAGCCTTTTAAATTTTGAAAACAAATAATCGATCTGACTAATCACAGGTTAGGAAGAGAAAAGTGGGAGGAGGTGTTGGTGAATTTTAATTAAACCTTTTCAAGGCCCTTTGTTTGTAAACATAGGCGCAGCGGTCCTATAGAACTAGGAGTGTTTCTCGGTATAGTTAGCTAATTGGTACAGAAGAGGGGCTCCTTTTGCAGGATTAATCCATTATATTTACCGGCAATTTGCTATTTAATTTTGCATTGTCCGGCTGGAATTTTTAATATATTTAGATGCTGTGAAAGCCATTCTCAAACGGTTTCAAGTGGTTCATAAAAATTTTTTTTATTTTTTCGATCCGAAGTCCGAAGACACCGGCTAGAGGGAATATATAATTCCAATGGCTAATGCCCCCCTTTTAAAAAAATACATTATGATCTGTCCCTAAAACTTCATGTCCATGAAGCTAAAATTCAATACATCTCAGCAATGCCCCCCTCCCCAAATATAAACACCCTGTAATGTATGCTGCTTTTGTGAAAACGGAGTTTGATCCCAATAGCAAATATTGATCGGCTCCTGTTCTGGTCCCAAGAAAAGCCAGGGAAGTGACATTGGCTTGAGTCACTGGCTGGTTTGCTTGTTTACCCCGCACCCCCACTCCTCCACACCTGTACCGGGGACGTGAGTCACCTCTGGTGTAAATCCGAAGTAACTCCCCTGAAAGCGATGATCCTGCCCTGGCTTGTTCTCTTCACCTTGACGCACACGGCAAACAAACACAAAAGAGGCAAATGGCTTCTCTTCTTAAAGCGGCCCCCTCCCAGGTTTTTTTTTATTGCTCTCTGGGAGTCTCTTTATGCAGTGACCTATTTTTAAAGGCCTATATTGGGTTATTCATCATAGCAAATACTGCGAGGCCATCGGGGTGGGGGGGAATTACATTGATTCTAAACCTCTGGGCTTCTTGGCTTTGCTGGGAGGTTGAGTTGTTTTGCTTTACTTCGTGATTTCAACATATTTGAACCAATTGGAGACTTTTCTCCTCTCCTTCCCTCTGCATTATTTTCCAAAGCGGCAAGATCCGATTTGATAGACCACTCAGCTGGGGGTGCCAGAGGTATAATTGCAGAAAAGAGACAAAGAGAGAACTTTAAACGTGGTTGCTAAGACAGAGCCCTGGCTCCCCGAACCACTTTCGGTCGCGCCTTCTCTCTCTCACAGACATCTGTACACCGGAAATCATCCTTTAAATACACTTACAGATTGAGTGGGTTTATAATAGGGGACATTCATGCCGTTTTCACATTTCCCCCCCTCCTTTCTCTCATGTACACATAGAAACACAACCCCTAGATATAGTTTTACATTATAGGACATTTTTTTGAACAAAGCTAAAATATGGAGTGGTCCTTATTTCCCCTTTATATCAAGCACTAAGAATAACAACAACAATAATTATTATTAATGACTGACTGACTCTGAAATCTGTCGAATCCTGGGTATTTCCCTGCGCGTGTCTAGGAGACAGCGCAGCCGAAAGGTTTCAAACCCCTTGGGCTTGCCTCTTAGGTTTAAATCTACCTGCGCGCCGCGTTGATTAAGATCTCAGGCTGCCTAGGTAGGTTTCAGGTCTCGCTGATGACCCGGGGCTGGCTAGACAAAGGCTGGGTGGCCGGGGCAGAGCGATTGGCTTTTCGCGGCGGTAGCTCTTTTCCTGGTCTTGTGACTGGCTAGTCCAACCCGGTGACAATGATGCTGGAGTTGAGCGTGATCCGGCTTTCCCATAGGCAGCCCGGGCAGCCCAGCTTGGCTCCAGCTGGCATGTTGTCTAACACCCCACTGCACGCGCAGGTGTGTGCACGGGGGGGCGGGTAGCGTGGTGTGAAGCGCACACTACAGATCCTGGCGCTGCCTGGCTCACAAACCCCAACTTGGATTTTCTCCAGTGGGATTTTCCTCGGGTAAAGATGCCAGGATCAGAGCCACGGGCCTTTTACATCTTTTCCTTCCTCTCCAAGGAGTTCACCTTAAAAAAAAAACCCGTTTGATGCATCCCCCACAAATCCCCCTCTTTAGATCTGCAAAGAAAACAAGCAAGGACCCTTCCTCTTTTGAGTTTACTGCTTCGAGATTATTCCTTCCCCACCGCCTGGCCCAGGAACCCGACTTTTCTGGCCCTATCTCAGGACACCAGGCGCATACCCAGGACTTGGAGGTATTCATCTTGCTCCCAGTGAGGTCAGGGTTAAAACGATCGTTCCGTGTAAAGGGGCAGGATGTGGGCCTAATTCCATGGATCTCCTGGTGGGTTTAAGAACTAGGGCTGATAAAATGTGAGTCACCCTGTGAAGAAGTTTGCAAACAAAAAGTATGTTAAAGCGAAGGAATTGTGAAGCTGAGGGGCTTTCAATGAGCGAATGATCCTAGTATATATAGATTTGCATCCCTACGGTGCCTTTTCCTCTGTAGATCTCAAAGCACTTTATGAAGGTACATAAGCGATGTTTAGGGAGAATTAAGGAACAGAGTTGCCTAGCCAAGGTCATCCAGCGGTAGAGCCCGGAACAGAACTCAGGTCTCCTAAGCGATCTAGGAAAAGGCCTAAACAGTGAGGTGACAAGTTTGCAGATGATACGAAACTACTCCAGATAGTTAAGTCCAAAGCAGACTGCGAAGAGTTACAAAGGAATCTCACCAAACTGGGTGATTGGGCAACAAAATGGCAGATGAAATTCAATGTTGATAAATGCAAAGTGATGCACGTTGGAAAACATAATCCCAACTGTACATACAAAATGATGGGGTCTAAATTAACTGTTACCACTCAAGAGAGAGATCTTGGAGTCACTGTGGATAGTTCTCTGAAATCATCCACTCAATGTGCAGCGGCAGTCAAAAAAGCGAACCGAATGTTGGGAACCATTAGGAAAGGGATAGAGGGAAAATATCAAAATGCCACTATGTAAACCCCTGGTACGCCCACACTTGGAATACTGTGTGCAGATCTGGTCACCCCATCTCAGAACAGATATATTGGAATTGGAAAAGGTTCAGAGAAGGGCAACAAAAATATTAGGGGGATGGAACAGCTTCTGTATGAGGACAGACTGGGACTTTTCAGCTTGGAAAGAGATGACTAAGGGAGGATATGACAGTGGTCTATAAAACCATGACTGGTGTGGAGAAAGCGAATAGGGAAGTGTTATTTACTCCTCATAACACAAGACCTAGAGGGTCACCCAATGAAATTAATAGGCAGCAGGTTTAAAAAAAACAAAAATAAGTCCTTCACACAAGGCACAATCAACCTGTGGAACTCCTTGCCAGGGGATGTTGTGAAGGCCAAAAGTATAAATGGGTTCAAAAAAAGAATTAGATACATTCATGCAGGCTAGGGCCTGCCAAGGTGGCTTAAGCCTCTGTCTGCCAGATGCTGGGACTGGACTGCAGGGGATGGATCACTTGATTATTGCCCTGTTCTTTTCTTTCTCCCTGAAGCATCTGGCATTGACAGGATACTGGGCAAGGCGGACCATTGGTCTGACCCAGTGTAGCCATTCGTATGTCTCTTATGTTATGTAACTTCTTACCCTGGGCTCTATCTAATTAGACCACAGCTGGCTTTGGAGGCCTTAACCTGGGTTACTTTGAAATAGCCATATTGCCATCTGAAGCAACTTGCAGGAAAGGAAATAACAGCTCCCCGCCCCTGTTTTCCCCTGCCTGCCCCCTCAGACTAGCGATTTCACAGCTAGTGACCAGGCAGAGGCAGGTGTGGGTTGTGATTTCACAGGGGTGTTGGGAGGTCACAAATTCTTTTCCTCACTGGGGACAAAGAAATCAAGCCAGCAATGCAGTAGCAGCAATAAGAATAATTCCTAATTTCGAAAGAGCACCACTTCAGAGTGAGTCCTCTTTCTCCTTATCCTTGCAACTGGTGAGA